AAATACCGGGCTAATACGCATAAAAAAGGGCTCTTTGACGCTGCTTTGGATGGGGGCGAAATGGAAACATCAGCTTGCTACTACGCGTGAGATATCTTCACTTGATATGTCACATTCTCTGATTATTTCGTGTATTTTCTCTGATTGAACACATTTAGTGTATTGGTAATATCTGTAAGTTGCTAAAAGTCTGTGAAGGATAACATGATGTCATTGCTACTCGTGCATACAAGTATATCGGCATTCGAATATCTTGGATAAGCTTTTTATTCCAGACTTCAATCTTTATATCACCTTTATGATAAACAAAGCGAAGGGAGTACTTGGATTCACTAATTGCTGATCGAAAGAAAACTTCTTTACACCCTCCTTGTCTTGGAATATTGTTCAGGCTATGGTGCCCACAATATAAACAGTCGAGCAAGGCGACAGTGAAATACCCTGTTTCCAAACAAGCCTCCGACGCTGTATATCCTCATAGCAGTAACGAAAATAAGAAGGGAGCGAGCCCACTCCTGCAGTTTGTGGGCGTAATCAAAAATAAAATAAACTCGTGTTGCCTAGGAATAAGGAGGGGATACATGCCAAATTTTGTCTTTGAACTTTCCTCGTCTTGATATTCAAGGTTGGAATACTTTGAATTAATATAATAGGAAAATAATTGATGTGACACATAAGCATACTTTTATAAACAGACGACAATGACATGTAGGATATCGCTCCGTTTCGGACTATAGGGAGAGGACCATACATATACACATACTTGTATATACAATATACTAGTTTCAGAGAACAAAACTCACATTTCTATTCAGATGGAGCTGGGGGCTTTATAATACTTGTAATATACATATATTTACAAATGCTAAGCCATCCATACACGATGGAGGGAGCTATTCGGTATGAAAAGCAATTATACTTACTAATTTGACTTGAGCAATACAAATATCCTTAAAGAGAGGCATTTAAACCCCAACTATTTAGATATATTCATATATGTATTTCGAAGAACTTGAAAGTATTTTGCCGAAAGTTCGCTGATGGATGGCTTTTTTGTGGTGCCTTTTCTATACTTGGTTTTTCTTTTCAACTATAAATGGCACTTGAATTTAAAATAAATGTAATGAACATATGTTTGGTGCCAGTTCTGAACTGTCTTTCTGTTCTCTTTGCAAGCGTCCCTTAAAGTATAAATGTGGTACAATCAGTGATGTAAATACTATTTGTGTCGTATATAGCTTTCTGCCCAATTTAAACATGTTGATTGGCAATATGTGGACAAGCAAACAAAAATGCATACCCATGTATGTGTTTAGTGATCTGTCGAACTACACTACCGAGTGAAAGAAATTTTGTAGTAATACTTGCATGCATATGTACTCTATAAGTATCATGTTATAATTAAGAAAATTGCATTCATTCATGCGCGCAAACAACTTTTAACCCGTTTCTGAACATTAAATGAAATGAATATGGTGAATCACAAATTAAAGTAATTAAATGGCACGAAGTGAAACAAGAACATAATCCAAAATACAAGAATATAACAACAGAAAACAAATTAAGGGAAATAAAACCAGCTTCGAATTTAAATTTGAATTGAAGGTGCAAGAGGCGAGACGAGGTGAGAGAGGCGAGTGGAGCTCGCCATGAGTTTTCTGCTTTGGGCCTTAGCTGCAGCAGAAATACTAAAATAGTGACCGCAACATTTGTTACCACTGCGACAAATCGACGCAACAACAATGATTGCCACACTGTTCATTATCTTTGCATTTATACGCGCGTTTCCTTGGAGTCGACGTCGACGTGGGCGGCCACAGCCGCTCGCGCTGACATTGATGCCGCCTGCACTCGACGAGGATGAGGCGCAGCAACAGCAACAACAACAACAACAACAGCAGCGGCAGCAGCAGCAGCAGCACGCAACGCAAGAGCAATGCACCAGTAGGGGCTTCAACAACAACAGCATTTCCCACAGAGGTTCCTCCCCAACCTACAACAACAACAACAGCAGCAGCCACAGCAATGGCAATGCTGGCGCGGCCGAGTCCTCCGCCCATGCTATTGCGTCGATGCCACGCCCTCGTCGCAAATCCTCCAAATTCCACGAAGTTACCTTCAGTGGCAGTGTTGGCGGCGGCGAAAGCGACGACGGAAATGCGAACACAGACGGAGAGGCGGCAGCTGGAACGATGCACAGCAAGAGTCAGTCGCTGAGCACGGGAACAACGACAACGGCGAGCGGAAGCGGAGGCGGAGGCGGAGGTGGCGGCGGAGGCAGCGAGCCTTATCGTTCACTCAGCAGTCGCTCGCGCAGCACACGCGCCTCCAGCGATTACGAATCAGCAGTTGCCATAGGCCACGACTATTATCAGCTTCAGCTGCAGCAGCACGCATTAGCGCACATCAACAGCAATGGCCACCATGTGGGTGCACATCGTCTTGCCCAACGCAGCGACACACTGGCCACCGAGGCGGAGGAGTTCGAGGACGAAGAGCGCACGCCACTGGATGGTGCTGATGAGGATAGCTATGATCGGGACACTGAGGAGTTCTATAGCAATATCCAGGATGCCACAGGAACATCGAGTAGTCGCAGCAAGCGCTCCTCCTTGTTCTCACGCTCCGACAGCTCCGCTACTACGTCCTCCAGCGGTGGCGGTGGCGGCGGCACTTTTACGGGCGCCAAACGCCGTTCAGCTGCCTCCATAATGTCGTCGTCGGTGTGCTCCGATGTCATTCCCGTCGATCGACGCAGCTCTACGGCCACGGAATATAGTGTACGATCAGCGGCCACAAGTCATCGTCGCTCCAGCGGACGCATTAAGCGCTATGCGTCCCGCATGACCATCGCGGGAGCGCGGCGGCGCACAACGGGCAGGTAATCCATATAAGAGGGGATAAATGAGAGACTGCTTGCTCTTTTAAGTTTCATATATTTTTAATCACATTCATCATCACTAATAAAAAAGAAGATGCACAACGATTAAAACCGAGTTGTGAATTTAGTTGACAATTCTTGTTCCTTCCTTAAACTGTCAACATTGAAATAAGCATTAAGGTGCCCCGTTTTGGGATACTCTACCGTCCTGCTAGTGACCCACGAAACATGGGTGAGACAACCGGAAACATTACTCCAGCGAGCACCCTCTATTAACCACCTTACTCCCTACTCCCCACTCCCTACCCCCACACCCTTCTCTGACTGGCGTGTTATCTGGCTTGCTCATTGGCGCGATGAACATGCTCGTTGCCATGTCATCGCACACACACACACACACACACACCGGGGCAAGCAGCCATCCCCACAGTCCCCCGCGTACATATGTACACTGTCTACCTCACCCACAGCCACACACACACCACCCGCCCCCTCCATCTCCCTGGCACGTTTTGGAATGCTGTTTCGGCATTTATTTCACTCTTTTTTCTTTTATGACAAATTGGCAGATTTTGTGTCACACGCGTGCCGCCCGGCTGCAGTCGGCTTTGGTAACGACACCAACAACAACAACAACAACAGCAGCAGTGCCCCGCCCCCTTCGAGAACGGCAGTCGTTATGTCAATGTAAAACGCATCAATGCATAAATTTCCTTTGTCGCAGCTGCCGCCCGCCTTCATTTTGCATACAGATTCGCAAACATTTCGCATTTCGCATTTTGCAATAGGAATCGCACAGTTGGCCATAAAGTATCTATAGTACTGGTTCTATACTTGTATGTGTGTGCGAGCACGCGACATATGCGAAGATAAAAGAGCAGAACGCTGAACTCGCGCCAGCCCGACTCGTGTATACACTGTACACGCCCCTCTGTCCACCAACCTTAAACTACGGCTGAAATAAACCCCAGCCAGTCAAACGATACAGTCATACGGATTTCAATAAAACTTTCAAATGAAATGGCATATTAGTATTCAGTTTTCTTACAATAATGTGGCAACCCATAACTGGCTCTCCACTTCCGCACTGATGTCGATTAAGTTTGCAAATATGGGGTTTCTTTAGCCAGCGATATCTTCATACACGGCTGTCCATGCGCCAGCATATGGTGGAAGCTCACGGCTGTTGCACCCTGTTGCAAATCGAATACTACCTAACGAAGTCTGGGCAATCGGCACGAAAGTAAGGCTGCCTCACAAATCCTTGCCTCTTGATTAAATTTATGTCAGTGTCGAATCGGGTTACGTGAGGGAAGAGATGTACTTTAAAATTGCAATTGCAAACAAACTCTCGATGGCTGGCTGAGAAACATTCAACTCACTCCAAACTACTAATCGTTTCTGTTACATTTGAGTTTGGATGTAAATACTTACGGAAAAGGAAATTGGTGAACACAAGGATCTAATGACTGACGGAACTGGAACTTTTTTCATATTTGGTAATAGTACCCGGCTAGTACTTACAAGTATGTTAGTTGCAGAGGAAGTCATTGCCATAAATATACCCGCTGCTGTAGGGATAATTTGAATTGAATTTACCTCATTTATAACCAACTCCTCACTGATCCTCTTCGGGATTGTTTATTTAATTAAATAACATAACATACGTGATGCACTGAAAAATCGTTTGGTATAAATTGAATCTGGCCTGGTATTGTCTAGCTTCATACTTTTTCTAAAGTTAAATTCAGTTTCTTTTCGGCACTCTAAATATGATTTTCAGAAACGTCGATTTATCTTCGCATTGAGTCATATTCTAAGGGTGAGAAGCGCAGTTCCATTCAAATGCATATCCGAAAGTAGTTTTATAATATTGTCCTTTTGTACATGATTGCAAAAAAGTGAGCGCATGTACATACTACTTACTATACTTGTATACTTGTCTGTAGTTGTACTCGTATTTTGAAATACTCGCAATATCGTTCAGCTTTGCAGATGGTTAAAAGTATTTACCCGATAACTTGCATTTGAAAGAGCAAAAGCGAAAATACTTGTACTATAAACGAAATGAGGCCAAAATAAGAATAGGAATTTGCTTATATTTCTGTTTCTTCAATTTAATTACAATTTCTTCTTTACTTTACTCATATAGCAAATCGTTATTAAAAAATATATGGGAAACATGTGTCCATTACATGTTCCTAGAACCTCTCAAGACCCATTCTCCTGTTGCCACTGTTGATGGCGAGCCAAGAGCTTAAGCCCAAGAGGCCGAATTTGTTTGAAAGCCCGCTCCACACTGGCCTCCAAATCCGCAGGAGACTCCTTCGTCCTCTGATCGCGTACACTTGTGCGCATTACCCGCCGCACGCTCTGCATGCTGACCTCCTTGCAGGCCAAACGGATCTCATCACCCGTAAAATGTTCGGACAGTGCCACCAGCTGCTCCAACGATCGGGGCGTCTGGTGGACAATGCTGCCCAGCAGTTTGGTGATGAGGCTTCCCCGCTCGGCAGCATTGGGAAGCTGCACCAACAACTTTTTCTCGAATCGCCGCAAAAAGGCTTCATCGATGTCCCACGGCAGGTTGGTGCTGGCCAGCACGAAGACGCCACTCAGTGCGTGCTCCATTCCATCGAGTAGCTGCAGGAGTTCGTTTTTGAAACGCTTCGATGATTCGTGGTCCGTCGGCCGGTCGCGTTTTGAGGTTAGGCTCTCGATTTCATCGAAGAATATTACTGAAGGTGCGCGCCTGGCAGCCATATGGAAAAGCACTCGTAATATTTTCTCAGATTCTCCGCGCCACTTCGACACCATGATGCTCGCAGTTATATTAAAGAAGGTAACTTGACCCTGAGTTTCGGCATAGAGGGTCTTGGCCAAAAAGGTTTTGCCACTGCCGGGCGGTCCATGCAACAACAGAGAGCGCCAGGGCTTGAGGCCTTGCGCAAACAACTGCGGATATTCCAAGGGTGTGATCACAGCCTCCTTAATGAGTTCAATAGCATGCTGATTGCCACACACGTCCGCCCAGCGTAGCTTGGAATCGCCATGCATTATGGTTGTCTTGACTAGCTCCGCTATCACCTGCCAGTCCAGCGAGGCAAAAAGCGCATCGTCGGCGGCATGTCCGTGGTCGATCTCGCCCAGTAGATGGGGATCGACGGAGGAGTTGCCGCAGCCGCTCTGATCCGCAGACGTCTCGATTTTCTTAATGTGCAACTGCAGGCGATTGGCTTGCAACTGCGCCGGCGACTCAGTTGCCAAGCTAGCCGCCGCGGCTGCTGTCGCTGCCCCCACGCCTGCATGCCATGTGGCCATGGCGTCTCCTGCCAGCTGCTCCTGAGTCGGCGACTTTTGTGGCTGCTTCCCCTTCATTGCCGTTATTGCTGTCGTTGTTGGGGGTGTGCCTGCATTACTCTTATTGGTTTTTGGGGTCGAGCTGGCTCCGCTGCTCGCCAATTCCAGCTTTACTTTAGGTCCGCTTTTTTTGAGGATTTTCGGATACTTGCCGAATTTCATGTTGAAAAAGCTTGCATATTCCAAATATATGGCATCCAAATCGATGTTATCGCACAGTTCGTACTCCTCCGAGAGGTGCCCCTCGCCCTTCAGTGCCTCGGCGCTGTTGTAATAGCCATTCTCGACGAGATAACGATGCATTAGATATAGAAGGTTGCGACGTCGTGCGGTGAAATTGCGCACATCCTCGCAGAGAGCGGTAGCCGCCGCAGTGGCTGCCACACCATACTTTGTCTGTGGCTTTATCTTCGCAATTTTGGTGAAGGTGTGTGTGGAAGAGATGACTTCAGAGAGGTTTCGAACCAAGCTGCGTCCGTTTGGTCGGTCGTTCGATTTGAGAGCTGTTGAGAACACAATGTTTTATTTTATGAATCAGTATCGAACTAAATACAGAACGTAAAAAACATTGGCCAGCTTGTTTTGTTAGCTCAAACAGTTGCTATGGAAGCGTACAAATGCAGCCCTGGCAACTGGGCCAACTGCTTCTAGTGTGCTTTCTAGATGTTAACCTAAGCCTTTGTCCCGACGACCAGCAAGAGAGCCATTCACAGAAATGTCAGAGAAGCCAACTTTGCGGGACAGTCGTGCAAAAATGTTCAACTGAATCCTAAGAATCCCCTCAAAACGATATTCAAAATGTCAGCGAATAGTAGAAGCCAAATGCTGAATATTAAAAGCTTACGTCAAATCAAGCAGACATTAAGAGGAATGATCTTAATATGTATAACTAAAGCTAAGTCATTTGTTTAAGATACAAAATTCACTTTTTCTGTAAAAAGAAAACCATCTGAGAAGTTCACTTCGTCTGCTGTTCCTTGCTCTAAAATCTATATTACTTCTTAAGCATGAGTTGCGAGTATATGGACTCGTCTCGTAATGCTAATTATATATATTTTCAATGCATATGGTAACCAAATTTTCTTATGGGTCCTATGCAGGGTTCGCATTCTGCTCATTTTTGTGGTCACACCACGAGTTGCTCATACACCTGAATAAATAATGTCCGTGCAAAAGGTGTGATGGGAATGGGGATGGGAATGGGAACAGCGAAATAATGTTGAAGTGAGGTAAATTACCTACGAAACGTTTTGATTCAATTTTTGAAGGCATGTAACTTTGTTTGTTATACCCTGCATCCAAAGGGTAAAAGGGTATATTAGGTTTGTGCGGGAGTGTACATACAGAAGGAGGCGTAGCAGACCCCACATAATGTATATATGTATTCTTGATCAGGGTGACAGGACGAGCCAATAAAGCCATGTCCGTCTGTCTGTCCGTCTGTTTGTCCGTCCGTCTGTATGAACGCGAGGATCTCGGAAAGTGTAATAGCTAGATTAACCAAACTTGGTATCCAGATACTCCTAAGCCCGACAAAGGACAGGTTTGTTAATTTGTTTAAGAGTTGAGCCCGCTCGACTCTAGAATTCCTTTCTTGTTCTTCCTGAATTCCAAGCAATTTATTCAAATGCAAAAGGAACCATCATTTATTACATTACATTTCTTACAAGTGTCACAAACTGGATATTGGATGCATGGACCCTTCCACGAGTATTGTAGACGAAAGTTCATGCAAATTGTAAACATCCCCTTCTAAAAATATGCTTACGCGTCTAATTGATTGCACCCCCGAGCTGTGCAACCACATTTGGTTATGTGCGTCAACTTTTGAGCTAATTAAGAATCCGACCACAAGCACTCGTCCATGCCATGCGTCGGAAAAGTGCACCAAAATACATTTTCTACAGTATGCATTTCCTTTGCTCTCAACACACTCTTACGAGTATGTGTGTGCTTTTGTTGCCAACTTTTGGCACGCCCAATTGGAAGGGGCCCGCCATTAGCCCGCGGATGATGTCAGATGGGCGATGGGCGATGGGCGAGGAACGATGGCCCACGGCTGCTGAAACGGTAAATCAAAATGTTCCTCATGATGAAACAAAAATCTGTTGCCGCGATTTTTCGCTGACAAACAAAGCAACGTTTGCCTCATTCATAAAGAAGCCTTTCGAACTAGTCATCATCCAATCGCCCCATTCCGAAAAGTGGCCATGCGAATAGTATACAAGTACCTCTATCAGTTATAACAAGAAAATGTTTAATCTAAAATATTTCTCCAATATCTTCATCATTGTGTTCTACAAAAACCCGTTTTCCAGCATATTGTGATCTGACTTTGTCTGATCGGCAAATTATCTATATGCATAAAAAGGAGACCTCGGCAAAAAGTTGTATGTCCCCATGATATGAGGTTTAGCATTCTAACTCCTGGGTATTGCACACAAATCCAACAGATCGTTTCAATAATCACTCTCAGTTTTCTATTCTGGACAAAAAAACTCTATAATGTACAAGAGTCGGACTGACCTTGATTGAACTTAATATTTCATTCGTTTACCTTAAAATGTTTGTGATTTTCTTTTCTTGTCTCGAGACTATGACCATTGTTAGGCTTAAGAAGGGGTTTAAAAAATATGAATTTGTTAATATTATCAATAAAGAAGAAATCAATGAAAAGATTATAAATATTAAAGATTATAAACTGGATCGGTGCAAACAAATGCGTTCTTTATTTTTTTCTATTTTTCCTACTAAAACTGGCCATTGTCTGTGCAATAAATTGCCATTAGTTGCCTTTTGGCCAACTTCTTTTGTTGAAGTCTGACCTCCAAAGAGAAAATAAAGTATTTAATTGCATGTGAGTTGTTGTCCTTTCTCGATGAATTATGTGGCAGCTCTTTGGCACTTGCGTTCTTGGACTTGAGAATTGTTTTTCACCTCAAAGAATCGCCCACTCACGAATTCACACGTCACTGTACATTTCAATTCACATCTCCAGTTCGCACTTTACTTTGTTTTGGTGTACGTACCATATTCATGCGTTTTACTTTCTTCCTTAAACTTGTGGAAGAAAGGAGAGAAAAATGGCAAAGGAGCCCCCAGCCCCAAACAAATTGAAAGTATGTCCGCTTTGAAAACCATGGAAACTTATGGCGGCAACAACAACAAGCGCAGCCTCCGATTGCAATATTAAACAGTAGTGTTAGCCGCCATATTTGCTATTGTTCTAATTCATTCGTGTATAAAATACTGCGTCGCATCGTCTGAAACCATATAAGTTTCTGATGCATCGCTTACACCGATGCAGACATACACATATGCATACATATATACTCGAGAAAGTACAAACCATAGCATTAATAGCAGCATCGTGTCAAATGTTGGGCGCCTGAGCTGCACTCTCTGGCGCTTAGAGAGCCTATATGTACATAAGTATGTACAAGTATATATATATATATATATATATATATATATATATATATATATATATATATATATATACATACATTTACACACTCGCAGACTCGGACTCAGGCGCACACACACTCTGCTCAAATGCTACCATGCCGATGAATGAGCCAACACCCAGCAACCGTGAGTAGCAACAATAACAACGTCAGAGGAAAACGACATCGGTACACTTTGCTCGAAGGGGAAAACAGTATAATATTTATTGTGAAACGGTTTCATTTTTATAGCCTGTACCCAAAGTATATATACAAGTAAGTAGTTGATCAGTATGACAAGACTAGTCCATGCCCCTTTGCCCTTCTGTTTGGCAAGAACCTCAGAAAGTATAAGAGAGAGAATAACCAAATAACCCTGTAAAAGGTATAATCCATCACTTTTCCACTTCTTAAATACTGTGGCACTATGTGTTTTTCCATTGAAATATTTCTCCCGGTCACCCTAGCAGCCTCTATTTCACAAGCCTATTGTGTGGTTTCAGCTCGTTATCACCCTTCAAAGTGCGACAGAATACCTAACTCTATTGGCCTATCTAAGAATAAACAGTCACCACCTATCGCGCCTCGTCAATACTTTATAATAAGTATAATAACCACATTAAATAATTGTTAACATCTTAAATATTTCACCTTAAAAAATTAAAACAAAACTGTAAACTTAAAAATTACTCATCAAGATGAATAAGTTTTTATATCCTGTATCCATAGGCTTAAAGGGCGGTCTGCTATGCGGCGGTCTCATCATTAGAACAAACTATAAAGTCTTTATCACTATGAAGAGAGAGATACAAATGTAACATGTCCCATTGTCTGTCTGGATAAACGTCTGCATAACGGAAACGACTGAGTTCATTTCATTTTGTTTTTGGATTGGTTTGTTTTTGTCTTAAACGTTGATCTCTTAATTAAATGGCATATCAGTATTTGTACCGAGACACCGAATTATCGAGGGTAACTGTAATGCAGATGAGGCTTAGCTTCAAGCTCCTGACGCGCAATCACGCACGGTCAAGGACCCAGAAGTGATGCTAAAGCACAGATTTGTTTGTTCGAGCTGGGCAGACCTGACCAAACTGGACACCAAAAAAACATGCCAGCTCCTTGTCTCAATGATTTCTGCAGAACCATTATAGATGAAGAAGAGGGAGATATCATAGAGTACACTTTCGAAATGACATCATTTTAAATAACAAACTAATACTTGTAGCTGCAGTAGTGGCTGGTTAAATGATGCTGGCAGGTTAACTAAAGCGCGATGAATGAGACGATCTGCTATGCGGCGGTCTCATCATCTCTAGATCATGGGTACTGGGTTCTAGCGGCGGCGCATTGTGCCTATGGACGTGACTACAATTTTTGGGTTTTGGCACCAATCAGCTATGTAAATGATGAGCAAGCATTAAACATGACATCAACATGTGGTTGCTTCTGTCAAGCCACTCGCTGTTTCTGGGAAACGCCTGCCATTCTTGCAGTATTTTTGTACCTAGAAGGTAGAGACATCACATTTTTCACAGAGTTGTCAAACCCCTGTAATTCTTGTAATTTTTAAGTAAAACTTGGGATTTACTTTCGCTTAGTGCTGATTCGTCCATATGCCAAGTTTCATCGGGATAGTTTTCTGCTGCTGCTTGCTGCTTTTATATTTTTGGTTCACTATTACTATTTTGGATTCACATTTCTTAGAGTTGAATCAACAATCAAGAGGGACCTCGTCCCACAAAATGTCATTGGAGCTCGATAAATCCCTTAATAGTTTTTAAAGGCCTTATTTCAGATTCTGGGACTCTGCTCAAAAAAAACAGTATTAATAGTGTACATTGTTTCATATAATAAATACTTTGTACCTACTATATACTATACACGTACTTACATATGCAGAAATGTTGCTAAAAATTGCTAAAACTAATTGTATAGCTTCTTTAATTATACTCGTATATGTATGTGTGTCAAGCGGGAGTGACTAGGGTGCAGTAAAAAAGAGGACAAGGGTTCTCAATTGGAGATGACAACATCTCTGTCGACGTCGACGTGGACGCCAACGCCTTGTTAAAATTCGAGCGAAGCCGGCGAAAAGTTTTCATACAAGTAAGCGCCACCTTCGCCACTGCCAGCAGCTCACAAGCGGTGGTTGTGGTGGTTGTGCTGGTTGTGGCGCAGACAACGTACCACCATGGCAGAAATGCCTAACGAATTGAAAAAACTTTAAAAGCGCCTTGTTAGGCGCGCTTCCGTTTCCTGCAGACCGCCACACAGCTCTCGGTTCTAAATTCTTGCTTCTCTGTTTTGGCTTTTGGGCTTTCGCCTCGTCTCGCCTCACCTCGTCTCGTCCCGGCTCGCCTAGCCATCTCGAGTGAAAACTTTATGGCGTGTGTGCAGCGAAAGCTGTCAGCTCAACTTGTTCCATCAGCGGGGCTAACACACACACACACGCACACACACACACACACACATACGCACATGCGTGGTTACACTCGTGTATGTGTGTGTGTGTGTGTGTGGGGCGCGCATTAAACTTATTTGCACAAGGGTTAACTTTTGTGTTTGTATTGACTTTAAATTATATACCGCTAATTAACTTCTTCTTCTTTTTTGGTTTCAGCTTCGATGTAGAAAATGGCCAGGGCGCGCGATCACCGCTCGAGGGCGGCTCACCCAGCGCCGGTTTGGTTCTACAGAATTTACCGCAACGTCGCGAATCATTTTTATACCGTTCCGATTCGGATTTCGAAATGTCACCCAAATCGATGTCCAGGAACTCGAGCATCGCTAGCGAGAGGTGCGTATCGATTTGCATAATTCTCCAACCCGTTATTTTGCATTAATGTGTCTCATCTTGTTCACCTGTTGTGCGAAATTGCAAATCTATTTTGAATGTATGTTTTCATTTCGCTTCGACATTGCTGGAATTGCTTGGTTTTATTTAAAGCTTAAGGATTATTTGATAGTGCTTCAAATTTTTATTCATACACTAGTAATAACTGATACATACGTGTACATACTTACATGCTATCTTTCATTTCTTAAGTTACCAGCAAAAAATTGTAGTACGCCGGTATAAGAATTTATCAAACAAAAAACTCCCCTTACAACTGCATACCTCCATGCGCATCTCATTGACATACATACAAGTGTGTACAGTCGACGGCATCAGTATTTTGACAGAGTAGTTCCCACACGGTTTTGTTTATAACCCTTTAAAAGGCCATATGAATACATTTAAGTAAATATGGGGAAGATGTGTCAAATTAATTTACAAGAGATTATATTCAGGTATACAAAAATCATATTTCGGAATTGCAAGGGATATTTATCCAGACTGCTCCTACCTGAGAAATTGGATCCAGTGTGCTAGCCAAAACTCTATTCCAGCAACTTGAAGGCAAAGCATTAAAAACATTCATATATTTGTCTTTTCCGCGGTTCCATAGATGGGTACCAAGTCTCCCACCCCAATACGAGCAACACATCCCCAAAAAAACACTACAAGCCTATTTCCATGCCTTAATCTTTCACAAACGGGTAACAGAGTTTTTGTTGGAATCTTTACGTAATCTTTCCTTGAGCAGTGGTAATCAAAGGAATTCAATGCTCGTGATCTCTATCAACGTAGGTGCAATAATCAGGTTCTTTAAGATGTGCCACGCTTTTTTGGTGTGGTTTTTTTTTAATAATTATTTATTTATTTATTTATGTATATAGTTTGAAAAGATACACTACATTATTTATACTGATACTTTCTAGGGAAATACCAGAGTTATACCTCGCCGCTATATCAGTTGAAACAAATGCAGTGCAGTTTTTTGTTTTACCAACATTTAAGCAATTGAAGTAAGCAGAACTCTTGTTATCTGCACTTGGAATCAGTTATTCCCGATTTATTGCCGCATAGCTTAACTTGGCGGATCAATACAGACTAAATAGAGAAGCAGAATAAAGCGTGAATCAAGAAACTTACATGTACTTGTATGTACTCTGTCTTGAGAAATATATTAAAACTGATACAAATTACAATATTTCCAAGTAAAACGCAGAAGATAGCGCCAAGTTTTGTCAAAATACTTATACCGTCGACTGTACATTTATATATACATACAAACATACCTGTTTGCATAGCACGTCATTGATTGGCACGGCCGCTTTAATATTCATCATCGCGTACAATATTTTACAAATTATGTTATTAGTTCTTACCCGTATGTATAAAACGGATCCCATATTAATAAGAGTACAAATTTCCATTTGACGATTCTTAATTGTACAAAATTAATATTAACTTTGCTATTGGCTGAGCCTACCTTTCCACAGACTCTGTTTGGGCTTTACTTTTTCATACATTTGTGAAAATCCACTTTGATAAAATTATATTTTTACTGATAAATATTACGCGACTCTTAAGGAATTGGGAACAGTATTGACGATTTTATTTTTTTTGTGCTAGAGATTATCAAAGACTACCTTCCAAGTTTGGAGATATCTAGATCGATACTTTCCATCATGATTACACAGAATAGGTATACATTACTCATAGTTAAAGAAGCTTCTTTCTGTCTATTACGCACTTT